TGTCTTTTTCCCTCATCTCATGATTTCTTAACTGTTTAGGGAGCACCCACAGTCTTGAGGCACAAGGGAAATGCAATGTGACTTGGAGAGTGGGTCCAGGGAGAGGGTGGCTTTACCACCGAGCCACTAGGAATGTGGCTGCAGGGAAAAAGAAGCCCTTGCTGAGAAGAGGCTGGGTGCGGGGCAGAGATGGAGCCATAGCTGCTGAGCCCTGGAGCCCTTAGGCCACGGCTTACCCAGAGGTGCCTGTGGTAGGCGGGCTGGGTCTCCCGCCGCATGTCACTCGGCGCGCTTGGGGGGCGAGCCTCGGGCTGCCCCCCGCCGCACGGCTGGAGAAGACCTTTGCTGTTGTTAATATCACATCTGCACTGAGCATTCTGGAGCAGCAGGAAGGAAGAGGGGCTGGTCTGGCCACTTAGAATTGAAGTGAGCACAGAAATCAACGTAATTGGAAGAGGGCTGAAGCTCATTAGAGGACTGGGGGGAAGCTTTCGTCAAGTCGTGCGCTGGAACTAAGGGAGGAAATACCACAGACACCCCTCTGGTGAGCCAAGTGTGGCCCCAGCAAGATACTGCTAGTCCCACAGTACTTCTGGCTGCTTGCACCATTAACAGGTGCTGCACTGACTCACCCAAACAACATAATCTTCTTCCTTAGGGTTAAAAAAACACCTAAAGCAAAACAACATGACCCTCGTTTTGGACGCAAGGGATATAAATAAATCCTAAAGGTCAGGGGTACCTAATGATTCTTCAAGGACAGAAATACCTTTAACATCATGATACCTTTACCTGCTTCACAGGAGATGCTTTAGTGCCGTGAATCCTGCTGTGACAGCCTGAGAAAAGCAGAGATAGCAGTCCTTGAAAGTTATGATAGCAAGCACCAGAAGCAAGAAGAGCCACATCCAAGACAGCTGTCCAGGTGCCTGCATCTGAGGCACCAACAGAGAAAATTTTTGAGAAAACTATGATTAAATTCCTTTAAAACCCCTCTTCAGCAGCCACACAGATCCTGTGCTCCTCTGCTTGACAAGGTCCAAGACAGTTAATTAACCAGAGCTGCAGACAGAAGCACTGACATGTTTCTCTACAGCACAAGCAGCTTATGGTCTAATATTCTAGAAGTCTCTTACAGCAGATTAGTTTCATGCCTGCTGCAGGCATCTGTAGCAGGACATCTTGGGAGAGAAAAGAACACCCCCACCCCCCATTTTGCAATGAGACAGAACCATTAACAGGATCATGCTTTGCTATTGTCTGGTCCAGGACTTTGCTAAGGTCCTGGCAGGCAATTTGTCCTTAGCCAGTGAAATAGCTCATTACAAAGCTTCAAAGGAGCAGGTTCTTCTCTCCGTGTCACCCCCACTCTCTTAGCACGCAGTTTACTCTTGCACTGGTTGTCTCCACATTACAGGAATAGCATGATGTATTTGAAAACATAATCCTCTCCCCTCTGTAACCTCAGCGTTTCACCGGCAGAGCAGTTGAAGACGACACATCAGCTCCGGACGCAGCATGAATTGTCTTGGGAGGAGTGCCTGCAGGGCCCCGTACTGCTGACTCAGCGCTACTGGAACTAACGCAGCAGACTGGACAGTGAAGCCTGGCAGCTACCGGGGCAGCCGCTAACAGACAATGTTCCTGTGATGCTTAAAGTCAACAACTTCATCATTCCAAATCCACCACTACGTAAAGAAACAGTTTGATTTTTTGGGAGTGGTAATGGCAGCATCAGACCTGCTTAGCAACTGTTTAATCTTCCAGCATTTTGTGGACAACCACCACCACAAGACTGTTGACCTGATCAGTTAAAGGAGTTTCTAAACTGTGTTTTATTTGTCCAGTGAGCTTCATAAACTATGAAACTGTCAGCAAACTGTTTGCCTGTGCTTGGTACAACACGCCTGCTCCACACTTCTCTTGTGTGCAGTTTGAAAGGAAAAAAACAAAAAAAACCCCACCTTCAACATTTAAAAACAAAACTCTCTCACCTTTCAGTTCTCTCAGCTAAATGACAAAGCAGATTCAGGCACGAATGTATAATGATACCCCATTAACCACATTTGTCTTCCAGTGAACACTCCTGTTCTCTGCACTTAAAGGTAATAGAAAAAGATACTAGATGTCCTTACAACTTCTTTCTGCTTCTCTCTGATGTCTAAGCAGCATGTTAGACTGTAAAAAGATGTTCTGTATTAGCTGGACTATAATACTTACTTTGCTGTCTTTTTATCTAATACAGGAACAATGAAGTATCAGCATATAAACTCTGTTATTTGATCTGCATTTGCAAAGCAAACTTCCCACAATTCAGGCCATGACCCAAAACACATTTATAGTGCCAAGTCATCAGACCAGAGTTAACCTGTGTTACAACAGCCCAACCAGAAGCGCTTTTCAGCAGCCTGGTTATGGCTGTAAATAAGCCCACTTCCTTTTTTTTTGAATTTTTTCTCCCATTTCCTTTTTCTTTTAGACAAGTTCTTGGTGACTACTTTATACTAAAAAAAGTTTTGGTTTTTTGGTTGTTTTTTTTTTTTAAGACCACTGTCAACACTTCGGTTTGCCATGGAGAGACCATATGAATAGTTGCTAAGACCAGCGCCAAAAACCCAGATCTGGCACACAATGAAAGACTCTACAAGAAGGTCTCAAAGACAGAGTTCTTTGCAACTCTCTGTTTATTAAAAATATATGTCTCCTTGGAAGAAACACTGGTAACCAACTAATGTTGTCATGATCGATTCGATACTGTCAGCTATGCCATGGAGTACATCATTTTTTTCTCCATGTGACTTGAGAGGGAGACAGGCTATTGGGGGGGAGGGAAGAAAAAAGAAAAAAAGTACAAAAAAACGCAAACAACCCCACAGACAGGAACAGTGTGACTAGCGTCTTAAGGACTTTCGTTTCACTTACTCCACTTCTCCAGGGACTGACATTTATAGCAGCCAGAGCAGGGCCGGTGGGGCAGGGGGCCTGATGCCGAACAGGAATCCATTGCCAAAGTTTGCTCCTTTAGGGTCGGTCCCACTGGAAGCAAAATCCTTCCTGCCCTCGACTATGCCAGCAGCTGCGTCTCCTCTGCGGCACTGCTGTGTCCCAGGAAACTGCTGGTCCCTGCAGGGCTCCTGGTGACGCAGGACGAGTAGAGAGGGCTTCTCACCAGGCAGCACACGCACAGCCTTGTAGCAGTCCTTGTTCACACTGAAAACCACGGCGTGTGCGCACCGTGCACTGACTGGCACGCTGATAACCGTCACCTTCAGGGAAGGGGACCAGCGCCCCAAACGTTCACTTATCCCTACGAGGACAGGAGGCAGAATGGCCAAGACTTACCTGTTTGTGCTCCTGTGGTGCCCTCCTTTGCTCTGGTGCTTGGCACCGTGTCTGAGAAACAGCATTTGCCGGTTCTTTGTAAGGTGGGAGCACTCTTCTGCGTGTGCCATGAGTACCCAGCAACATAGCTCCTTTCCAAAGGCTGTGCGAGTCCCCCCCAGCTTCACACAAGGCTCTGTTCCCATCACAGAGCCCCAGTCAAGTGTGGAAGTCAAAGTGTCCTCAAAGACAGACATTTCTCAGCTTAGGGCCAACTGTCTTAGCACCAATGGTTGCCTCGCCTGAAAAAACCCCAGTGCACAGCAGATGGGTGCAGCTCCGCACCCCCCTGCCCCACCGACCTGCGAGCACGGGGCACCCAATTCGGTTTTCTAAGGTGACCCTGAGAGAGGGAGCAGAGCCCAATTCCAGAAAGAGGATTTACACAGAGATGTCAGAGACAGAACCAGGTGAGGTGGCTGCCATTCGCCTGCCAAGCCCCAGTGCCCAGAGCAGCAGGCGAGGTCCCTCTGTGCTGGAAGGACAGCCTTTCCACGGGGAAGGCCGCTGCCGCCACCACCTGCATGCAGCAGAGCCGGGAATGGGGCAGGGAGCAGGGGAGGAGGGGGACAGTTTTTCTACTCTATTACTGATTCGGAGAAGTACGAGCGTCCATCCAAGGCACACCTGGGAGCTTTTCCTGCCAGTGGCTAATGCAGAAGGGAATGCCAGCATGCTGCCACAAGCTAGAATGGGTCATTTCACCTGTGCCCACAGGTACAGGGCCAGCCCAAAGTCCCAGATTTTCCACAGCAACACAGGACAGCGAGTACATTTGTTCCACGTGGCCGGTAGAGTATTTCCTAACTAAAACCGCAGATCTAGATTCTATTTACAATAGAGCCAGCTTAAAAAATAAGTTAAAAAACTGGATTTTATACCCATTCAGTTCATTATTAACAAGAAAAAAATGGAGTAATGAAAAAAAAAGCCAACACAGCAACACAATATGGTTTTGGTTTAAAATTGGCTTAAAAAAATAGAACCAAAAGGAAACCTCTCATGCAAACACATAAGGTGGTGTGTAAAACAATGTGCAATTTAATATGTAGTATCATCCATTCTCTTGCTCTGCAGCCTCCTGCTCAGTCTCTGTCTCCCAGCCTCCCTCAGACGAGCTGCTGCTCCTTGCTGCGTTACTCTGGACCTCTGGCCCCTTCTGCACAGGCAGCGTGCCAGTCTCTGCTCTGCCTCGCAGACCCGGGGCGGCTGGCAGGAGGCTGGCCCCGGCCAGAGACGCTGCCGAAGCACCTGGTACCGTTTTGAGCTCTTCCTGCCCAAGTGGACTCCCTACGCCCAGCGGCTGGGGCAGAGAAACTGAAAGATCCTTGCAATAATACAATACCTTTTGAGAGAGGTCCCTCAGGTTTCCTAGTCCACGTACATATATATATATATATAATATATATATAATATTTCTCTCTATATTATATATAAATTACATATACAGATAAATAAAATGCTTTCTGCTGCCTTTGCGTCGCACTGTTCAGAGCTGCTAGACAGTCACACTTGGAAAAATGCCCCTGGAGCTTCGATACTAGCTCACGTGCTCAGAGTCCATTGTTTCACTCATTTCTTACATTAGTCCTTAGCCGCCTCCTCCCATCTTGATTCTTGGTTTAGTTAATAATAATAATAATAAAAAATGACCTTGAATGGGTTTTCATCTGTCTCTAATGGAGCAGTGGGAAGGTCCATGCAGGAACGGTGGGAACAGTCACGTGATGAATGAGATGAGTTCATCCCAACAAAAGAAACAGGACTAGAAAACTCAATTCTGCGACGATCTAAAAAAGGGGGCAGGAATAGTTTTCACATTGCCCCCTCCTTGGGGCAGAGGGCTTGGGTGGGGTGGGACTTCGGAGATCTTCTGCTCACAGGGAAGCAGGTGGGGGACATCTTCAGAGTTTCTCTGGGGATGGGACCCAGATGTAGTGCCCAGACTGGTCCTCGATGATCTGTTTGATTTTGCTATAAATCTCTTCAAGAGAGTCTCCTTGTACGATGGCTGGAAGAGGAGAGAACAAGCAAGACCTTGAGCATCAGGCAGCACTGCTCCTTCCCTGCCACGAGCTATGGGAAAGGCCTTCACTCTGCACCAAAGGGGCCGGTGGGGCACAGCCAACAGCCAACAAACGAGACAACTCATGTCAAAGGAGCTGCAACAGGCACACGATGACACAGAGGGTTAACCCAGCGTGTCCAAGGGGATTAGTGAGAGCTGATCCCACGCTGGCAGAGCTCCTCGCGCGTGTGAAGTGCTGGCCGGGTTCTCCACAACGGGCTGCTAATCAGCTTTGCAAACCGTGTCACGCCACCGCGCCAAGGCTGCAGGCAGCTGGCCCCGGCACCGTGGCTACCCCACTGCAGCGAACGGGAGGGCTTCACGCCGGTCAGACGGTGCGCGCCACGCGTGTCCCACTTATGGCTCCCAGCAGCAACTCTCGCCCAAAGACCAGCGAGAGTCTCGCTGCTTAGTACGGACACAACACGAAGCACTTCGTTGTGCCTCCTGCATCAGAGGAGGAGGATGCACACACAGGGCCAAAACCTTTTGGTAGTTCAGCCTGCCCCTGTAGCCCAGCCAGGCCCATCCTCCAGTGCCTCTGCTCCCCCACTAAGTTACTGGCACAGAACTTTCTACAGCAACGGTCTCTCTGCCCACTACCCACTTCTTTCAACAATGGGTTTCAGCCAAGAGCGTTCCTTCCCCAGGTCAACTTCAAACTCCCTGTCTCATCGCATGATGGCACGCCGAGGGTCTGGCAAAACCATGGTGCGTGCTCCCCTTGTGCTCTTCACGGAAGAGCAGCCGACAGCTCCAGAACTGCTGCCTGGAACAGGAGGGCTGGGGAATGCTTTTACCCTGTTTGTACCCACATATTTGCTCAGTTGAGATCCATTTTTGGAAAACGTTCTGCCTGAGATTTTTCCTGGTAGCTATTAGGTAGGTAATACAAGGTTTGGCATGATTATCACTCCTCAACTTCAGATGAAACAGTTACTGCACTGGAGGAAAGATGGAACACCGGTTTCTCCGCCTCTTTGGCTGCCCATGATTTTCCAGAATTAATCATGTTACAAACATCAGTTTCTCCGTGCACAAGGCTGCCTGTGTCATGAGCAGCTCATCTCGGCAGGCACAAAGCGTGAGGCAGCCTCTGCCTGGCTCTTCAGCAAAGACTACGTAGGAAGCCAGCCAAACTTCCAGTCTTTTTCTGGGAGATGTTTTGTAGTAACTCAGGACAGTCTCCACCATTTAGGTCACTAATTTTCAATCTTTCCTCTTTAAAATGACTGCTTTCTCTTGTTTTGAAAACACTCCCCTTTCCCCTGCACAGGGAGTTTTACTTCCTGTAGCTTTGTAGCACCCTGAACCTGTGCTGTGCTTCCCCTGCCTGGGGATTTTTTCTTTTTTTATTATTGTTAAAGTTCCTGATAAGCTTTCACAAACTTGGAAAATCCTGCCTGACAACTTGTCTCCTTCTCTGCAGCCGGTTTACTCTTATCCACTGATCTTGGAGCAGTCCCTTTGCAGAGCCCAGCTGGCAAAGTGCCACTTCTTTTTTGCTTTGATGAAGCTGGACATTTTCCCATGACCCTACAGCAAGACAGTGCTGGTAGAGAGGTCCCAGCTGCCAGCCAGAAAAACACAATAAATCAGATACGAGCCTGCTCAGGAAACCCACCTGTAAAATACTCTCCAAACTCTTGCTCGAGTTTCATGGCTTTGTCGAAGACCTTGTTGGCCTGTTCGTACGTCTGTCTCCGGTTCATCTCCCTGCCACGTACAAAAAATAGAAACTTAGCTCTTCTTCTTAGCAATGAACAGAAGCAAAAATAGCCCATGGAGCTGGGGTGCCTGGGAAGCCTCTGCCCACCAGGAATGGAAGCTGTGCAGGACCCAGCTCTCAAAAGCAGGACCCTTCCCCACATGCTCTTTGCTGCCTTGGCACTTCATCTCAACTTCCAACGATTCTCCCCATCGCCACCACCCACACTGCTTTCACTATAGTGCCGAAGTGGACTCAGATCCAGACAATCCTCTCAATTTGCAAGACCACTGCAGAGTCTTCCTGCTGTTCCAGGGCCTGCCACCACCCTCCTTGCCTAGGTTCCCTCACCTTCATAGAACACCCAAATAAGCAATACAACCCCTTCTGGCTTGAGAAGCGGTTTTCCCCAGTCCCCTCGGTGCCAGCAGAGTCTCTT